ATAGATACTTCAGTATAAATTTCGATCAATTTGACCAAACAGGAACTGAGAAATAAAGAGGAACCGTTTTGAACGACAAACGGTACAATAGACACTAGAATCACTCATATATATATATATATAATATGTGATTCTTCGTAAACAGATTATAAAAAATTATATCGGATACACGAATATATCAAGTACACTTGTTATGAACGAATAAAAAATCTAACTGAAACTTCACAATCGTCTTTCATGGAGTTATTTGTCTCGAAATTTTATTTTTGTAGATTAATTGTTTTCATAAAGTGTTGTTTTCTCTACGTTTATTTGAAATTCTAAAAAGAAATGTGCCTATGAAAACAAAACTGTGAACAAGTGAATGTCGATTAAGAAAAGTAAAATTTTTCAAGCACACATTTATGATTATATATATGATTGTAATAACTATTTTCAATAGTTATTCAATTTTTATTAAAAAAATTCGGCGATCAAAGTTCCTAATAGCCATAGAGTTCTACTTCGCTGTAGGCAACAGTGTCACTTCTACTTCTTTTAGCAGTGACAAGAAAGCGATAACTTGTAAAAATTTGAGGTGATGATATATTTTGGAACGGTCCATAGGTAGAACGATCTACAATACTTTCTAAACCTGTTGGACCAACGTAGATACTTGCCCAAGTAGCACAATTCACCAAAGTATCACAGTTAGTTCCTTCTACTGTAACCTCAGTTGGATCACGACTAGATGAAGATGTATTGGCGGCAGTAGCGAAACGAAATTTAACAAGGGTTGGTTGACATTGTGCAATCGTAACGTAGAATCCGGTGTCGAGGCCAGCATATGCATTGGTTCCATTACTTGAATTACCTCGACTCATGTATTTAGTACTAGTTTTATTATCGAATAAATTATCAGGAGACTGATTGAGAACATATGTTCCAACACCTGATGAACTTTCTGTAGCAATTGTACTAGCTCCGCCTGCAACCGTATTCCATAGAGATTGTACAGATCCAGATTGTATGACAAGCAAAGACGTTGAATCTATGAAGGAAAATAAGAGTGAAAAATAAGTTTATCTAAAATGACTAAATGAAACCTTCAATCTTAAAATGAAAACAGTGTCTCAATTATTTTTATTACTTCAATCAACTAATAGATCGTTCTATTGCCATATCTGCTTTATAAAAAAAATTGTTTACTTTGATGGTTATCTGATGAGAAAAGATACTTTTTTAATTCATAACTCATTGTCAGTTATGGAATATTCTACAGATACCACTCATCTTATTGCTGTTCAGTTTCTACAGTCTTTTCAAAAACTACGTACCTTTCCATATGAGAAGAAAAATAATGTATTTTAAAAGTAAAGTCAAAGTATTTAAACCTACTGGATGTTCCGTTTTGACTTGATGACGACTGAGTTGAATAACCAAAGAGTTGTACTTCACTATAAGAAACAATGTTACTTGAATTTCGCTTAGCTGTAATAAGAAAGCGATAGCTCTTGTAAATATCACTGTTCGATATTGACTGATACTGGCCATATTCTAAACTACTTGCTTGTATATCAAGACCTGTTGATCCATTGTAAATTAAAGTCCAATTTGCACAAGTCGTTAGATTAGCACAGTTAGTTCCTTCGATCGTAAGCTTAAGCGGTTCGCGCTCTGACAAATTGTACGCATTACCAAATCGAAATCCTATGAGTACTGGTTGACATTGAGCAACAGTCATATAAAAACCAGTATTGAGACCAGCAACTGTGCTGGTTCCAGAAATTGTATTACCTCGACTACCATATTTTGTATTAAGATTACCATCAAATAGTTTATCTGGAGATTGCCCAATAAGATAGGTTCCGGCTCCAGAACTACTTTCTGTTGCTAGTGTACTGATTCCACCAGCAAATGTATTCCAAACACCATAAATAGTATCAGGTTGGAGGTCCAAAAATGATGGTAAACCTATAAATAATGATGTAAATTATAATTTTGTAATAGATAGCTACAAATTCAACTATAAAAAAATCAAATAATACCAAAGTCTTTCAACTATTCATTCTTCTACGCAGAGTAGATTGTTAATATTGTACCTTTCGACTACAGAAGTACCAATAATTATACGATAAACATCTATATATGTTCATATAATCTAGCTAGATATTTCTATCAAATTTATCATCTGGCTGGCTGACTGATTCATATAGGAAAGTCTCAGAAGCAGAAGCAACAACCAGCTTTCCATTTTGAAATGTTCAACTAATCTCAATTAACTTAATACACAAGTGTACCATCTAGCGATATGAGATTCACAAAAGAATGACAAATCGTAAATGCCTTAAGCTTTCTACTGAATTTCAATTCGTTTTTTAGTAAAAAATAATCTTATGTTCAACTTCCAAAACATTCAATCATTTCTCATGCTTTATGCCAGAAATGGCATCACGTCGATCGTATCTCGCAAAAAGACAAATAACAAATACGAAATACCAACTATTCAAGATATTCAGAATTTCTAGCTATTATTCGTAGTCAAAAAATAAGTGTCATCATCTACCCTTACATCAGTTCCATTTACCTTAATTGAGCGAATCAATATGAGCTAATACAGCCATTCTAACACGTCTAAGTACAAAAAGAGATATTCACTTCTTACGAATAGATTTCAAAACAATTCCGCTTCCTCTTCACCCATTTGAAAATATGAAAACTTACTATTAACTCATGATAGACAAGACTTCTACATTTGCTTTTCTTCTACCGTATTCAAATGCACAGTTTTCCTGAAAATACATACCATACTATATCAACAATAATTTTCTCGTCAAACTATGCCTGTAAATCAACCACTTTGGTAAATACACTGCAAACATAATTTCATCAACACGATCGAATTTCAATGTTAATTGCAATGCCACACCTCCCCGCCAAACGGAAAGACTAACCACAGATAAGCAGACCAAAGATTTTTCCAGTATTCGATCTCATCAGAAAGAGAAATTCAACTCGACTAACGACCAAATTAATCCATCCCCAAATATAACTACATTGATGACCACCATACGAAAACTACCTTAATATTAGCGAACTTCACAGATTTCCAAAGCAGTCCAATGCCATTCTCCATACCCACGTTCTACCTTACTGCGTCACAACTGATTGAACGATAATACGCAACAACATAACACTTCTATCACTACAGAAACGACAACAACTACTACAGAGATAACAACAAGTACAGAAACAACTACTA